GGAGTTTGATTTAAAAAAGATTATTTCTGCCCTGACAGTTTGGCTTAGTGGATCGAGCATCTGTCTGTGGACTGAAGGGTCCTAGGTTCGATTTCAGCCAAGGGCACATGCCTGGGTTGCTGCTCAATCCCCAGTGGGGGGGCGTGCAGGAGATAGCCGATCAGTGATTCTCTCTCATCATTGATGTTTCTATCTCTATCCCTCTCCCTTCCTCTTTGAAATAAATTTAAAAAATATATTATTTCTTATACTAAACTGTATGGTGGGGAACTCATTGTGGTCACTCCTGGGATGAAGCTGATATATCAGCCACTCATCTCTTGAATGTTGCTGGTCACTGGCAGAGGCAAAGAACTGAGCAATGGTCCTTAAAATTACTGAATAGTGACATGACTACATTTAACTTCAAAGTACAAAGCAATAGAATGTTACCATGTAGCCAGAAGCAGATTTGGAAATATTTGGTGAATAGTACTAATTGTGTTCACATTAGTGACTTGCAGATTTCTGACTTGGGTAATATGGTATATTTAACTGAGATAGAAAGTATAGGACCATGGATAGGACTGGTGGGGAAGGAGAAGGATGAGTTTTAAGATGAATAATGGTAGGCCCAGTGACTATCAAGGTGTAGTATTTTAGAAGGCTCTTGGATCTGGGAATCTAGGGCTAGGAGAGACCTAAGTTGGAGACTTGGTAACGTAAAGGAATTAATTGTGGATGTGTGTATTTAACCTCAGTGCCACATACATGAAGTGGTTGGCTTAGCTGTTGAGTTGGGGGCTGAGGGATGGTGAGTTGGAGTGGGCTGGCCTGAAACCTGAATTGGATGGCATTAGGCAGGAGTGAATTGAGTTGAGTTAGGTTGGGTGAGAAAGAAGTAGCACTATTTTTACATCTGCAACTTTAATTAGCCTAGTTATGTTAATAATATGAATAGTTTCAGGATCCAAATGCAAATATATTTTATCACATTTTATATTATTTTTAAAAATATTTGAGAAGAAGAGAGGGAAAGAGATGGAAATATCAGTAATGAGAGAGAATCATTGATTGGCTGCTTCCTGCATGCTCCACACTGGGGATCGAGCCCGAAACCCCGGGATGTGTCCTGATAGGGAAATCGAACTGTGACCTGGTTCATAGGTCCACGTTCAACCTCTGAGCCACACCAGCTATCACAGTTTTTGATCAACAACATAAATACGTATATTTAGCCAGAATCAAGATGGATTTGTTTCTATATATGAAAGATTTTTTTTAATTTAAAAAATGATGAATACTTACTACTTAAATAATATATATTGTTTGTTTCAAATTCTTGGTTAATTGAATGGTAAAGGTTGATTGAAATTTGAAAATTAGATGATTAGACTTTTAAGTTAATAAAAGTCTAATCATTTATTTAAATTTAGGATTATGGTAAATGTCCTTAACCTGTTTTATAACTAAACTAGAGGCCCAATGCAAGAAAATTCGTGCAAGAGTAGGCCTTTCTTCCCCCAGCTGTTGGCACCTGCTTCCCTCTGGCATCTGAGCCCCTGGCTTCCCTTCTCAGGCTGCTGGCCGCACCGGGGACCCGGGTTGGCTTCCCTCCAGCCCCAGCTTTGTCAGGAAGGATGTTCGGAATGACGTCTGGAAGACGTCTGGTTTATTAGTATATTATCTTTTATTATTATAGATTGCTGTTATTGCACAAGGCATATATGATACTTTCAAATATTCTCTTCTTTTTTAGCATGAAAAACCTTAATGTCTTAAAGTATTGTACATTTATGTTATATACTAGGTATACCAGGTGTACTGGTTAATGCGGATTTTATAATAAAAGAAAACATAATTTCAAGAGAAACATCAAAAGTGCTTTATTCAAAGTAATGTGCATTGCTGGCTACATATTTCCCCCATCTTTCAGGTAATTTGTGGATGCTGTCCCAATAGAACTTTTCTTGTTTTGAGTCAAACCATTCAGAGACTTAATTTTCCATTTATTGGTATGTTTTTAAGTGCTACTCAGAAAGTGCATGTGCCATCGATTGGAACAAGTGGTAATCTGAAGGAGCAAGGTTTGGTGAATATGGCAGATGGGTTGTCTTTAACTGGTTGTAAAGTGTGTGATGGCACATCGTTATGAAGCAAAATTACTTTGCCGTGTCTTCTGGCACATTCTGGTTGTTTCACGATCAAAGCATGGTTCAAATTGATTATTTGTTGTCAGTAGCAATCAGTATTAACGGTTTCACCTGGTTTTGGAAGCTCATAATACACCATACCTTCCTGATCCTACCAAATGCAGAGCATTGTTTTCTTTCTGAAGCAATTTGGCCTTGATGTTGATGGTTGACTGGATCAACACATGATTTTGTGGGTTTAGGATTCTCAAATCCACTTTTCATCGCCAGTCACAATTTGATGCAAAAAACTTTTGTGCCACTGAAGCAACATTTTACTGATGACTTTTTGGTTTTCCATTTGTCTTTTATTCAGTTGATGTGGCACCCATTTTCCTTCCTTCAAAATCTTTCCCATTGCTTGTAAACGATCAGAAATTACTTGCTGAGCAATGTGTAATTGTTCAGCAAATTGTTTTTGAGTTTGACACGCATCTTCATCCAATAATGCTTGTATTTGTTGATCTTCAAGCTTTTCCGGTTGAGCTGGACGTTCTTTGTTTTCCACGTTGAAATCATCACTTTTAAAGTGTTTAAACCAGTGTTCACAAGTATCTTGAGGCTAGAGGCCCGGTGCACGAAAATCGTGTAGTGTGTGTGTGTGTGTGTGTGTGTATGTGTCCCTCCCTCAGCCCAGCCTGGACCCTCTTCAATCTGTCTGACCACCAGTTGGACATCCCTCTCACAATCCAGGACTACTGGCTCCAAACCACTTGCCTGCCTCCAACTGATTGCCCTTAACTGCTTCTGCTTGCTAGCCTGATCATTCCCTAACCTCTCTCCTGCCAGCCTGATCGACACCTAACTGCTCCTCGGCCAGCCCAATTGCTCCTAACTGCCCTCCCTTGCCAACCTAGTCACCCCTAACTGTCCTCCCCTGCCAGTCTGGCTGCCCTTAACTGTCCTCCCCTGCAGGCCTGACTGCCCTCCTCTGCTGCCCTGATCACCCCCAACTGCCCTCCTCTGCTGGCCTGGTCACTCCAAACTGGCCACAACTACCCTCCCCTGCAGGCCATCTTGTGGTGGCCATCTTGTGTCCACATGGGGGAAGTCATCTTTGACCACATGGGATGGCCATCTTGTGGAGTGATGGCCAATTTGCATATTACTTTTTTATTAGATAGGATGGAGCATGTTCACCATAAGTTTCCTGAAGTATATGATAACTTTAAGCAGCACTTTTCTTCAAAATAAAGTAACGAATTAAAACTTCCCAAAATACTCCTTTTTTTTGGGGCATGAAATTCAACATTTTTAAGCGTAAAAATACCTATAATGTTAACACCTTCAGCAAATTTGACATATGAAGTTGTGAAGCTTGCTGTCAATACAACAAAATAGCATACGTATCAAATTGCATATATGGGCAGTTCTGGGGTTACATCGGACTCAACGGTACATTGTTTCGTGATTATGTCACCATTTATCTATACTAATAATAGAGGAATATGCATATTGTTCAGGATGCCATCACATAACAGTAACGAGCAAACAGCAGGCTGCGTGAGGTGACGAGGTCGGCATGGGGCTTAGTAAGGGATGACCAAATGACTGAACAGCAGGCTGCAAGGGGCGACCAGGTTGGCGGGGGGCAGTTAGGGGCGATCAGGCAGACAGGCAGGCAGGCAGGCAGGTGAGCAGTTAGGAGCCAGCGGTCCCAGATTGGAGAGGGTGCAGGCTGTGCTGAAAGGACCTCCTGCTCCCCATGCGTGAATTTTGTGCACAGGGCCTCTAATTTATAAGGAAAAAAAATTCTGTCATTTTGACATATGTACATATTGCTTTATGTTTTAATTTATTTATTTACAAGTGAAGGTCAGGAATTGTTATATTTCTTTAAAACTTTTTTTTTACGTTTCACTTCATTACTGCTGTACATGTGCTCATGTGGGTGATGTAGGTGCTTACATAGGTGGGTTGCGACTTAATGCGAAAATCTCATAATGTGGCGCTGTCATAGGAACAGATCTCTGACGTAACCCGAGGACTTACTGTATATCAACATATGTGTAACTTCACCTAGTGAAAAAATATCCTCATTATTAACCAGTACATCTGGTATATATTTTGTTCGGGTAATTTTTTTCCTTGTTAAAGATAATAATTAAACACTATTAAAAATAATTATGGACAAGTTGACAATGATCATCGATGAGTATAGTTTATTTTGCAGTCTAAAAAGGTAGATTCATCTTATGGAGAAATTGCTTTAATCTGTGCCATTTCCTTTTTATTATAGGCTTGCCTAGATTGAGCTAAATCTTAGGATTTGTAAGAGTCTTTGCTCTTTTGCATATAATATGTAACATTTTGTTTGTGAAATCTTTGTCTGGAAAATCACAATGCCTAGCCTGAACTAGTCAACTATATACAAAAGGCTTTAATTCCATGTTATCTCATTATTTCTAAGGTTGTTAATGAAGTTTTTAGAAATTTAAACGTGGCAGGGAAGGCTTAGGAGTTGTAAAAAATTTAAGTCTTGTGGATTGGCACTTTTATAAAAGTATTTTGCTTATTTATGTGGTTCAACATCTTTGGGTTAAGCAGTTTTCACATTTTGCTCAGATTCATAATTTAAATGTAAAATTTTTAAATTTAAAGTTTTTTCAAGTAAGGCAAAAATAAAGGCCTGCTTAGTTATCACTAGTCTTTGCAGATAGATCATCATTAAAAGAGTAAATTTTGCTAATTTCATGTCTTAATGATCTTTAGCAATAAACTTTGTAAGTCTTGATTCTGTAAAGAACTCAGAAAATTTTTTAGTGAAAATGACAGAACCAGCCAAATGTTTATCTAATTGTTTGTTGTGTTTTTTTTTTTATCTTGCAGCAACGCACCTCTTGCTTTTTCTTCCAAAGTATGTTATGTTAAGTTTCGTGACCGATCAAGTGTTGGCGTGGCCCAGCATCTAACTAACACGGTTTTTATTGACAGAGCTCTGATAGTTGTACCTTGTGCAGAAGGTTGGTACTCTACATGTTTTTTTCTATTTTAATCTCTATTTTGTCTGTTAATTACCTTGACTTTCTTAGAAATTGGCAAGTAGTACTCTGGCATGTGTGTATGTGTGTGAGAATGAAATTTGGAGAAGGAAAGCATTTTTACTAATATATTAAAGTGGTTCATTTGTTACTTAATGTAAGTTTAAAAAATAAACATTAAAAAATTTTATAAATTATTTGGCTTCTCCAATTTACATTGGCTTTCTGTAGTTAATTTGCAAGCTGTAAAGAAAGCTTTCAGAAATAAAAAAAAAATAAAAGGTTGTTTGGGGAAATTATTTTAAATGTGTAAATGAATAAGCACTTGCCTCTGTGTATACAATACCCTGTTTCCCCGAAAATAAGACAATGTCTTATATTAATTTTTGCTCTCAAAGATGTGCTAGGTCTTATTTTTAGGGGATGTCTTATTTTTTCATGCGCTAGGTCTTATTTTCGGAGGATGTCTTATTTTTGGGGAAACACGGTATTAGTGATATTACATAAATAAAAAAAGTGCACATTTTGCCAAATTGGGGTTAAGTGATATTTATGGTTATAAGAAAATATTTGTAATTGAAGCTTTAACGTATTCTCTTAAGGTTGCTATGCAACTGGAATTTACTTTTTTCTTCTGGCTTTTTTTTGTGGGGGAAGGAGTAATTGAAGAAAACTCATGAAAAGTAAATTTCCTTCATCAAAGAAATAGTTGTTGAAGATGTGAACAAGGCTGAGGCCTTATAGTTACTCGTTAAATTTTATGACTTAACCTGCTTTAAGAGCTAATTATTACTAATATTTATTTTTTAGTAACTTCTATTTACAGAGCAACTCATATAATAAGCTGTGCCGAATTTGACAGTTCTGGTGTGTAATTAATTTTATCTAGAGCACTGACTATGGCAAATGTACATGATTTTAGAATTGGGTTATTTAAATATCTTTAAAATGTATTTTTACTGGTGGATGATGGTAACTTTGCAACATAATTTTACCTGAAACAATTTAATGTACTTTCATATGTAATATTTTAAAACTTCTTTTAAAAACCAGGCCAGCATTAAAATAATTTATACTAAACAATTTGTCATACTTTTAAGGTTTTATGCTTATTTCAGAATGCTATTCTGAGATGTCAAAAACATTAATCAGATACTGTATCATTCTTTTACTTTTGAAGTCCCAGAATAGAACATTCTTTCAGATAGGGTTGAAAGTATTTTTCTTATACCTTGGGATTAGAGTGGAGTGGGGAAGAATAAAAATTGATTAAAGTTTATTTGCTATCTCTGTCCCTCTATCACTGTAAGGAGATAGTGAGCCTAGAATTGGAGAGCCAGGTGAGGAAAGAGCTGGTAATGCTTTAGTTCTGCAAACCAAGTTCATACCAATTTCACAGAAGTAAATTTCATGGAGGAAAAATCAGGTAGAAGGTTTATTAAGTGGGAATATTATATCATGAAAATGAGTCACTAGCAGCACCAGGTATTATATTTTGTTGGCTCATTACTGAATTAGAAGGAAGAATTTTATCAGTTGTTGCTTTGTTGGAACCTTACTGAAGTCCCATAGAACCTTTTATTATAGTATTTGAGAAACCCTGGCTCTCATTTGTCATGAATGTTCAAAGTTATGGGCAGGTAGAGGTTTCTTATTTTGTTTTACTTGATAGAGATGAATAAATGCATTTTTAATATCATTTTGAGACAAAGTTTCACCTTTTTGGACATGAAAATTTAAATATTTTCATTGCAATTTAGTTATGTGCTTTAGAACAGCGGTTGCCAACCAGTGGTCTGTGGATCACTGGTGGTCTGCGGGGTCCAAAAGATTTAGAATACTTACCTATAAAATAACTGGTGTTAGAAAAACATTCAGACACACATTTTTCATTAAATAAAATATATCTTGAGATAAATTTATAAGAACCTTACGAATGTCATAGTGAGCCTTTAAAAATCCGATAATGCACTGCAAGCAAAGTAATAAAGTATTACATATTGTACCAAAAGAAAGATAGCAAAGTGAATTTGAAATAAACGAAAGAAGGAGTTCTAGTGGAGTAAGTTCTATAAGAGAGATATACTGTGGTACTATAAACAGTGTTCTATTTATTTCATATTGCATTCTTTCCTTGATGTTAAAGAAACAGCATTATGAAAGAAATGAGAAAACCATAGAAAAAATTTTAGTTTCTTTCAATTTGCTGGGTTTAAAAAAATAAAATAGATATTGTGAATATGTAATGTTCGATGCGTAATAGTTTCATACATATCAAGCATTAGCTATTGTCAATGAAACATGCCATTTCAAAATAAATATACTTTCATTATGCTTGACCTCTTTTTGTTGTTGTGTGCATCTCAGATTTATTTTTATAAATGTTAACACTTAGAAAAAAAAAGATAAGGTCAGACATAACAAGATTGTCAGCCTAATCATCAGTCATAACTTTATGTCCACATTTTCTGGTAGATGGATTTTGACTATTAATTTGGTTTTGTATGTTTTCTCTATGTGATATTTGTGCATTATTAGATGACTAGACTGGCCAAGGCAGACCTGTTACACTTGCCTGACACTTGCCTGAGTTAGGCATTGTTTGCCATGCCACTAAACCTGCCGTCAAGTGACACCTTCATTGGGGAAATGAGATCGGAGTCTGAACCGCAGAAGATGGACGCCCTGTCTCTGTTTTTTATTGTTTTACTTTAATTTCATTTCTTTTTCTTTATTTTGTCCCTTTTTTGTTTTTGTTTTGTTAAATCTCTTTCACTTTAACTTGTGAGCTGGTTTTCCAGTTCTTTGTAAATGGTATTCCATTAAGGATTCATAACATTGCATTGCAAAATATATGGGGAGATGATCAGCAGAGCTCAACCTTAAGATAAAATAAATGTTCACAGCAAATTAGGATACAGTGAGTATTAGGAGGCTGAGTGGGAATGTTAATTGGTGTTTATAGACTGATCAGGTACATTTATTTGTTCTTGAAACACTGATAAAATTATTAGAAACATTTTCTGACCTCAGTGCAACATTTTTACAGTTTTTCTCCCAAATGTATATTTCTTATAAAAATCAATTGATTGCATCCTCCCTGCTAGAATTTTAGCCATCCAGAATCATGGAAAATAAGTTAATTTCTTATAACAATCTGGGGTAGAGAACACAAAGAAACTTTCACTTTAATGATAGTTACTCATTATAGAAAATAACATTTCCTTATAAAGAACTAGTTGCCTGTGAGGGGAATGAGTATTTGAGAAGCTATTAAATACTTACATGTGTGTGTTTCTCTGTTTGCTTGAATTTTTTGTTGAGAAATATTCAGAGTTTACTAGCTTCTAAATGGATTCTGAGATTTAGAACTACTAATTTAATACAGTAAGAAATATTGTTCTCTCAGTTGTCATTGAGTATAATTTGGGAAAAATGCTAAATGCTTATTGGTTTTATACTATTATATGCTAATAGTATTTAGAGGGTAAGTTTGATAGAATTCTATCTTGGAAACTAATGGAACTTTCTTTAAGTATCTTTAATGATGATTAGGATAAGAAAAAAATTAGTGTGCTTACAGTTAGACTTTATAGTAGTTTTTTACTACTAAGAAAGGCTGTAGGAGTCAATCTACTGATGCTTTTTTTTTTGAAGCCCACAGTGAAAGGCTTTATCATATTAAGTATTCAACATTTGGCCTGTGTTGAATACTCTTATTGTTTGTGGAATCTTTTTACATCTTTTGTATAGGTAATTTGACTTATTTGACAGTATATTAAATTGGGATTTTAGATTGGAACATTAGGGTAGCAGAGCACAGAGATTATATTCCAGGACTTCAGTTGATTTATCAACGTGTGTTTAGGTTTTACAAACATTTAAAAAATAATTCCTATTTATAACAAAACATGTGTAATAGCAATATAAATAGTATAGTATATTTGTGGGTATACAGAATTATGTGTTAATACTAGTACTATTAAATATAAAATATTGTTTGATATTTTCAATAAGGCCTATCTTTCATTTATCTCTATGCATGTTAAAAAATTATGTTTATGCAGAATTTACACAAATAATAAAATAGCTTTGTTTTTGAAATTAGATTAAAGTAATATAGATTTAGATGTTTCAAAGATTAGAAAAAAGTAGGCATTTATTAAAGCTAATGTAATTTGTTTTGTTCCTGTAAATAATTGTAACCATTTTTAAAAAATATATATTTTTTATTGATTTTTCACAGAGAGGAAGAGAGAGGGATAAAGAGTTAGAAACATCGATGAGAGAGAAACATCAATCTGCTGCCTCCTGCACACCCCCCATCGGGGATGTGCCCGCAACCAATGTACATGCCCTTGACCGGAATTGAACCTGGGACCTTTCAGTCCTCAGACCAACGCTCTATCCACTGAGCCAAACCGGTTTCGGCAATTGTAACTATTTTTAAAAGCAAGTTTTAAAAATCCATCTTGAATTCCATTTAGAGATATATTTAGATAATATTGTTTAGAGATTTATCTCTGCATATCTGGTTGCTTTAAATAAGAGTTTTTACCACTAAAACCTAGCATGGTGCTTTTGAAAAATTTACTCCATGTGCTATTTTCAGTTTACCATGATTTAGAAACTGTCTTCAATTACTTTTGAATTCATAATGGAAATGTGTAGCTAACTAATTATGAGTGGTTCTTCCAAAATAGCTACGTGTAGTCAACTTTTTTTTATTGTTAAGCCTCACCTGAGGATATTTTTCATTGATTTTTAGAGAGAGTGGAAGGAAGGGGGAGATAGATAAAAATATCTATTGGTTGCCTCCCACACCCACTGGGGATCAAGCCCACAACTTATCATGTGCTCTTGACCAGAATTGAACCTGGGATCCTTCAGTCCTCAGGCTGATGCTCTGTCCACTGAGCAAAACTGGCTAGGGCGCTGTAGTCAATTTTTTTAGGAGTAAATATTATTTTATTTTTTTGGGGGGGGTGAGGGAGAGAACTGTAAGAGAGAGAGGGGGGACCAGGAAAAAGGCATGGAAATTGAAGTCCTTATTAAAATTAATTGATTAGAATTCAGTAATTAAGTAGCACAAATTTATGGACATATGTCAGAATAAATTTTTAGTTTTTAGTCAGGAATTTTTTTCTTAGCATCTACGAATATTTCAGTGTTGTTATTAGAAGATGTTTATAAGCAACATATTTAGGGGTCAGCTACTTCTCTTCAGATAAGTATACATAAATTGGTTCTAAAAGTCAATAATTTAAAAAGTTTCCTAAGATTAGGGGACTTGTTTTGTTAATCATTCTAAAAAGTTTTAGCAATTTCCCAAGGCATATTCTTTAGACCTGGGTTCTTTTGAGCATTTCTGACATTATTGGGAGGTGACTTATTAATTGAATGGTACAGCTTCTTTTTAAATTGAAGCTGATTTCATGCAGTAGGTGTTTGTTTTTTTTCTATCTACTTGAAATTAAATGGAATTTGTTGGAAGGGTTATCAAAATTGTTTGCACCACAAGTAGGTAGTTTAAATAACAGGATAGGGGCACTCAGTAAGGAACAAATTTCAATTCGCACATATTTGTTTTTTCTTTTTCTTTTTTTTGACTAATTTGGTTATTTGCCATTTCTGGGGATTAAACTTTAAAAAATGTTCTTCTTTTCTGTATCTGATGTTCTGTGTGCTATTAGTGATGCAGCCAACACGAACGGTTGTCATGTGTAACACAACTTTCGATCACCGCGAAAACACCGTCCTGGGAAAGCGTCCATGCTTGATATCGTTTGGTTCATGAACATTAAGTTTCCAGTACAGGTGACCCATAGCTCAAAGTGTTAAATAATTGTCTACATTATTCAATTTTTAAAATAATATTCCATTAATGAGATTGTTAGTCTTTGAAATTTTGCTCACTTTTATTTTTCCTAGTAGAGCAGGATAAAAGGAAAGACTTAAGTTGTAATTTATTTCTTTATACGGATCTGATAGATAGATTCATTTATTATTATTATTTTTTAAGTACAAGGGTAATTGTAAAGTCATAGTGTAAAGTTTGTGTGGTGTTTCTGCTTTCTGTAATGTTTGAAACTTGCCTCTGCAGGTAAAATTCCAGAGGAATCAAAAGCCCTTTCTTTATTGGTTCCTACACCAACCATGACAAGTCTGATGCCTGGTGCAGGCTTGCTTCCCATACCAACCCCAAATCCCTTGACTACAGTAAGTATTACATACCTTCTTCTAAAAGGGATGAATGTTCAACTGTTTAATCAGTTGAATAAAGGGCTTAGAAAATTTTTATCTTGAACCTTTTATTTTAATGGAGAGAACCAAAATATGTACTTAATTCCCCCAATTGTCACTTATGAGTACTTAAACTATCTTTTGGAATTCTGAAGTAATTGAAGAGTCATTTAAATTCAGAACTAAAATTGATTATTCATTAGTAAATCAGTTATTGAAATTCAGCATTTTAGACAACATGGTGAATTAAAGAATCTATCTCCCTTCCTCTCTGTATAAAACCAATAAAATAAATAAAAAAAAATAATAAAAAAAAATAAAAGAGTGGTCCCGGGTTTGATTCCAGTCAGGGGCTCATGCCCAGGTTGCGGGCCTGGTCTCCAGTGGGGGGCATGCAGCGGGTAGCCAGTCAGTGGTTCCCTCTCATCGTTGATATTTCTCCCCTCCCTCCTTCCCTACTTCCCCTTCCTCCCTCTCTCCCTCCCTCCCTTCTTCTGAAAGCAATAATAATTATAAAAAAAAACATTTTAAAAAAAGGGTCATTTTTCTTTGAAAACAAACTTAAGTCAAAATATCACCTTAAATTGAAAGTTTATCTAGCTTTGTGGTACTGGATTTTTAGGGAGTGAACTCATGTCTATGATTATAATTAATGTATCCAAGTTATAAAAGTGGGTTCTGAAACCTTGAAGTGCAAAATTTTAGGTCTTTCAATTTTACATGACATTGTTCTGATGGAGATCTGCATTGTGACGTATAGGGGGAAATGCTTTTTAAATTCAACAGTTGATCATTTGTATTGAGCTTTCTAGAAGTTTTATTTTGGGTATATTTTGCTATATTTTAATTCATTGACTACCCCTGCCACCCTCAAGTATTTTCTTGCTATTTTGAAAACCCTTAGGGTTTATTTATCAACAATATAAAGTTTTTGTTGTTTAATTTGTTGCCCTTAGGGAGAATAGTTTCTTCTTAATTCATCTGTAGAGGATCTATTGTTATAGAACTTAGTTTATGAAGAATAATTTTAGTTAGAAAATAGAAGCAAGGTGGCCCATTGTGTTTTAGCTCCTGGTTACCTCTCTATTTTCCTTGCTCATTCTACTTCACCTTTGCCATTTCTTGGACATGTCAAGTACATTTCTGCCATAGGATTTTTGTACTTATTTATCCTCTGCCTACAACTTTTATTTTTCAGACATTAGGAAGGTTTACTTTTAAGCTTTTTCTTAACAATGAGGCTGTTCATCAGGTTTCTATTTAAAAGGGAGGCCAAAGTTTCTGTATAAAAAGGCAAAATGTGTTACATCTGGAGACCAGATCATCTTGAACTCTTCAAAGACCATAGGGCAACTAAATATTAGCCCAGGGCTAGAAAGTAGATTAAAGATGGCAATTTTAGTATTACAGAGCAGCCACATCCAATAGCACTTTCTCCCATGATGGAAATGCTGTCTGTATCTGTACTATTGAGTGTGGTAGCCACATGCAGCTGAGCTATTAGGCCCTTGAAATGTGGCTAGTGTGACTGAGGCACTGAATTTTAATTAAAAATGAAAATCAAACTTCGTGATTTTTGATAACTTAAAATGGTGATGGTGAGCAACAAATCTAAGATCTGGTAGTAGCAAGATACCACAGATTATAATAAATACTGTGAAGAAAAACCAGTGATGTGGTAGAGAGTAATGAGGCTTCATATAATAAGGTCAGGGAAACAGTCTTAAAATAATTAAACTGATACTTGAAGAAGTCACCTGGCAGAAGCAGTGAGAAGAGCTTTCAGGGCAGGAGGAGCACTATCCCAAGGAGGGCCCCGCCTGGGTGGCTCAGTTGAGTGGCGCATCATCCTGTACATCAAAAGGTTGCAGGTGTTTGATTTCAGGTCAGGGCACATAAGTTGTGGGTTCAATCCCTGTTTGGGCCAAGTATAGGAGGAGCCAGTTGACTTTTTTTATATGGATGTTTCTCCCCCATTCTCTAAAAATCAATGAACAAACATATCCTCCTGTGAGGATTTTTTTAAAAACCCCAAGATTTGAAAAACTTGTGTGTTCAAGGTACAGAATTGCCATCAGTGTGGTTGAAGCATAGTGAGTGAAGGGAGGGATAGATAGGGTTTTTTAAGTAATGGAAAGGAATTTACCAGTAAATTTTATTCAAAGGTAATGAGATACATACCCTTGCTTGGAATTGAACTCTCGACCCTTCAGTCCTCAAGCTGATGCTCTATCCACTGAGCTAAACTGGCTAGGGCAGGTGTATCTCATTTTATTGCACTGTGCTTTATGGCCTTAAATGTGTGTGTGTGTGTGTGTGTGTGTGTGTGTGTGTGTGTGTATAGAAAGCAATACCCTGCACCAACCAAAAAGATTACAACTTGCTCTGTTGTGGTGGTCTGTAATTGAAATAGCAATATCTCCAGGATATGCCTATAAATAAGAGTCCTTTTTGTGGTCTGTTTAGTGCCATGTTTTTCACATTTTGTACAGTTTGTTAATGATTTCACCATTTAAATTAGCTCCCAAATGTAGTGCTAAAGTGCTGTCTAGTGTTTCTAAGGGCTGGAAGGCTGTGTGATGTGGCTTACAGAGAAAATATGTGTTAGGGTTCGTTCAGGAATGAGTTGATAGTGCTTCTGACTGTGAGTTCAGTGTTACTGAATCAACAATAAATGTTAAATAAGGTATCTTTAAACAGAACATAATGTAAAACAGGGTTATGTATTGGTTGATGAAAACAAGACCAGAGGCTTATTAGGAACCTAGCCTTCTAATTTTCCCTAGTAGCAGTGATTCAGTATTCAACAGTTCAGTGTTTGTGGCAACTTGATAGGACATAACTACTGCAAATAATGAGAATTGCGTGTTTTAGTGTTAAGATTAAGAGTAGATAAAATATCCAGATAGTAAGAAATACATTGCATTTCAGATTATTATACATTAAAAACTATTGTGACCTCCCTCTTAATAATTCAGACATATCCCTGACAAAGTTAGGAGCCCCTAGTTTCTTCCCATTCTTATTGAGTTGATCAATTCTTTTTTAAGATTAGAGAATGGTAATTTTTGATACTAACCAAAAATGTGCTCCCCCCCCTTCTTTTTCTTAATAGCTGGGTGTTTCCCTTAGCAGTTTGGGAGCAATACCAGCAGCAGCACTAGACCCCAATATTGCAACGCTTGGAGAGATACCACAGCCACCACTTATGGGAAATGTGGATCCTTCTAAAATTGATGAAATCAGGAGAACAGTCTATGTTGGCAATCTGAATTCCCAGGTAATGAAGACACTGATTCCCCCTTCTTAAAAATCATATAGATTGGTAAAGTAATATTTATGATTTTTTAAAAAAAGAATATACTTTATTAAAATTTTACTTTGTTTCTTCAGACAACAACAGCTGACCAGCTACTTGAATTTTTTAAACAAGTTGGAGAAGTGAAGTTTGTACGGATGGCAGGTGATGAGACTCAGCCAACTCGGTTTGCTTTTGTGGAATTTGCAGACCAAAATTCTGTACCAAGGGCCCTTGCTTTTAATGGAGTTATGTTTGGAGACAGGCCATTGAAGTAAGAAACCCTAAACAAGAAATTTTAATGATTTTGAAAAACTTTAAAGTATTTTTGATGTAATTAAGGCCTTTTTTTTTTTTTTTTTCTTTTTAATAGTAATTGGCAATTTGTGGAAAGGAAGACTTTGTGTTAAGTATACTAAATGAATACCTGAGATACCATTTTAGCCTTTATGGTTGTATTTGAAGACACCTTATTTTCTATTTTATAAGGTCTAGTTTAATGTTAATGTTGGTTATATATCTTATAAATGATCATAGGTATTTTTCCAAAAGCTTTAACAAGTCAGGTGAGCTTTGCATTATGACTGGACTAAAGGACAATTTAACATATGAGTTGAATTTATTTATTTACTTACTTAAAACAGTAATAAGAATTTTGGTAAACCCAAAATCCCAGGAAGAAAATAATATTAAATACTCAAATTATCTGAATCATACATTTTGAGTTTTAAGGTTGGCTTCTATCTTTGTTTGCAAAATGAGAAATTGATGTAGCCTATCAGATACTCTATTTTATGCAGATTATTGAGGTACCTTAGTTATACAGTTTGATGAGGATTCTGCTTTAAAGGATAAATAACTGATCCTAGTGAATGCTTATCTTCTATTGTGGAAGGGGTGAGACTAAAGAAATTCTTCTATGTGCATCAGAGAAACCACTGTTGCCTGTTAGATAAAAGAGTTTTGTCAAATGCCTCCCACATTCAAAGCTGTGTTTGAATCAGCTGTGGTACAGGAGTGATGAAAATAGTGTACAGAATATACAGCTTCCCTTGCTCTTCCCAGGGTGCAGAAGTTATCAACAAATTCTTATAATCTAAGAATATAAGTGATTGATTTTAATATTGGTATCAACATTTTAATTTATTATAATTCTAAGCTGTGCAGGGGAAGCAGTTGTACTGGTCTTTAAAGTTGTTAAAGAAGTCAGCTAATATTCAAGTTTTTTTCTCTTGCTTTTGGCTTTGTTAGCAAGAGATGAAGTCAGGTGGAAATGAGATTATGGTTTTGAGGTTGGTTGTGGTTATTCTGTATTTAGCTATATTACTCTTTAATGTGCTTTTGAGGTGTGGATTCATAAATATATGTATCATGTAAAAACTTAATTGTTTCATGATTTGTAAAAGATGGTGTGTATTTGTGATATGCTAATGTTTTTAATTTAGAATAAATCACTCCAACAATGCAATAGTAAAACCCCCTGAGATGACACCTCAGGCTGCAGCTAAGGAGTTAGAAGAAGTAATGAAGCGAGTACGAGAGGCTCAGTCATTTATCTCAGCTGCTATTGAACCAGGTAAGGTCATAGTGTTGTTACATAGGTCATAGTTTAAGATCATAGAATTTTAGGACTGCAAGGAATTTTAGAAATTAATCTTGTTCAGTTCCTTCATTTTACAAACAAGAAGACTGAAACTCAAGAAAGAGTAAGTGACTTACTAATGTCAAATGTCAAAGAAGTACTTAGCACATTCTTTTCTCATGACACTGAATTGAGGCACATTAGCCTGAGTTAATCAGTTTTATACTTTAAGAGCAAAATTAGTGCTCAAAACTGACTTGCTTAATGCAACATATAAATGTTATTATGAGACCAAAAACAAGAATAAATATATTTAAAATGTGATGATTAAACAGACTCACTTTTCATCAAAGTTTTAATTGTAAATATAAACAAGAGATTCTGTGAGTTAGGGAAAATACACTGTTTTAGCAAGGTAAAAGATCACTTAACTCTTCAAACTTTTGTGTTGCTAACTAAAATCTAAAAATCCAATTTAAAACTGTCTAGATGGTTTAAATTTGAGCAAGTTTTCTAAAGTAGCACTCGGAATTTAAGCCTCAATTCTAGCAAAATAAATGGAGAAGGATTTAAAATCACTGTTACAGGTATTACAGACATGTTATAATCTTACATTATGGCAGCAACAAAATATTACGAACAGCTGTTTATAATCATCTGGTTTATATGTACTGCTGCAGGGTGGCTGCACTCAACGAGTTTATGCAATGACTTTCTTGGATGTTTCTGAAGGATAATTGCAGAGGAGGAGGATGTACAGAGAGTAGGCCCCTTGCACTATATGTGGTACATTCCACTTGTGCCTGATTATTAACTGGGATCTTTAATTGTTCTGAGCTTACACTGCAAAGTGGTTTTTTCCTCCCAGAGTCTGGAAAGAGCAATGAAAGAAAAGGCGGTCGATCACGTTCCCACACTCGTTCCAAATCCAGGTCTAGCTCAAAATCCCATTCTAGAAGGAAAAGATCACAATCAAAACACAGGTGAGAATTTCTGCTATCACTTTAATTTTTTTTTGGTCTTGTATTAAAAATAGTTAAGATTTCTGAGTTTTTTTTCTAAATGTCAGAATTTGAAAATCTCATAGAGTTCACCAGAAAGTATGGTTACCATGAAATATTGCTTTAATTATAATTAACTATAGTTTAAAATGCAATTTTTAATATGTCATTGTTGTTTCAATGAATTTTTAGTTTTAGAAGTTGGTTTTCTATCTTAAGATGCAATGTTTCTGATTTTTCTAAGAGTAAACTAATGTTTATACAGACTGGCGGAAACTTTGCGTATTAAGAAAGGGAATCGTGTATTAGGATGCTGATGGCTGCTTGCTGAAGTTGCTCCTCCCTCCCCCTTCCTACTCCACTCAGGTGTTGGAAGTACCATCCCAGATCTTGCTTTCCAGTCCTTACCTCTCTGGAGTACTTCGGGACCTGAAACAGGAGTAACTTGCAGCTTTAGTTCCAACTATTGTATTGTGTGTATTGTGCTTAAGCTCTGTTTGTTTTGTTTTATTTTTGAACATAGCTCTGTTTTTCTTTTTAAATCTGTTGTGTTTGATTGAAAGGGGATCTCAGTTATCTTCTTTAAGATGTGGAGGGACTGTTACTAAAAAGTGGAAATGTATATAGTGGATTCTAACTGCATCTGCATGCACACATATACCTAGGCCTAAAGAGAAGAGGTAGAGAAAAGTGTGTGCATGTTTATGTGTGTGTGGTTGTGAGGGTATTAGAAAAGGAGGGAGAATTAGAGAGCAGGGAACCAGTATGTTGCAGTATGTTAAACCTCACTGGCAAGCTCAGTGTAGTCTGTTTTTCTGTGTTGTTCAAAGAGATTGAAAGAATGAGATAGGAACATACTATTTCTATGACTAATAGGGTATACTTCTTGCTATTTACTGGTTTATACTTCTCTGTTATTCTTAGTTTGCAAAATCTCTTTTGGGATGTGGTTTTACTGTATTCTCCCACCCATGGCCTTACAATAAGCAAGTTCATATCCAAGTGAAGGAAGTTGTTTCATGTATTAAAAGGAATGACCAGTGCAGCAGAATCTAGAACTGGAGAAGGAAAGGGGTATAGAAGCAGTGGTGCTAGATTGTCAACATTAGTATAGGTTGATAGATATGGTGAACATAAAGGAGTTTAAAGAAATACAGAATTGAATTGAAGAGTTCATTTTGTGTTGATTACAAGAGCCAGGCTCCAAATCTAATACCTTAGTGGTTTTCTAGGCTAGACTAAAACCAAACTTAATGATTGACATCATTGTTTCCTTGATAATCTCTGGGAAGATTAATCTGTTGGGGCAAATATGAACAATGCAGGGGTTTGAAGTCCTGACCACTTTAAGATTTTTGCTCTCATTACTTTAAATATATTTGGATATTTTCCCTTTGTGTAAGGGTTAATAGAGAGGAGGATTGTTCCTAAACTGAAATTTGTTAATTATGTTTCTCATTCATGGAACTGCTTTCATGAAGGTCTAACTATGTAGCATAATAAATTACTTATTCTTGGCCTGCATACAGTTGACCCTTGAACAACATGGGTTTGAACTGCATGGGTCCACCTGTATGTGGATTCTTTTTCAGTAAATATATAGCTCTCCATATGTGTGGGTTTAGGGTTTATGTATTTAATCAACCACATTTCGAAGACAGTACATATTTTCAATCTGCGGTTAGGAATCCACAAAAGTGAGAGGCCTATTATAGGCATTGTTCCATACCATCCTATATAATAAAGCCCTAATATGCAAATTGACCAGCAGAATGACTGGTTGCTGTGATGCACACTGACCACCAGGGAACAGACAACTCAGTGGGAGCTGCCCCGGGTGGTTAGTGCACTCCCACAGGGGGAGTGCCGCTCAGCCAGAAGCTGGGCTCATGGCTGGCTATTGCAGTGGCAATGACAGAAACCTCTCCTGCCTCTGTGGCAGTGCTAAGGAGCAGCAAGCAGTAAAGATGAGGGTCCCGGACTGTGAGAGGGTACAGGCTAGGCTAACCCCCACCCCCTGCACAAATATTGTACACTGGGCCTCTAGTTTTGTATAAGGGACTTGAACATTTGTAGAATTTGGTATCTGTGGTGGGAGGGGTTAGTTCTGGAATCAATCTTTTGTGGATTCTGAGTGATGACTGAAGTTTTGGGGGAGTCAGAAGATTTTTGTCTGACTGATGGGTCAGCATTTCAACCCCTGCATTGTTCAAGAGTCAACACACACATATACACACACATAGACATATCTACATATACACACACACATATATATATATATAAATACACACACACTTTTATACATGTTTTTGGTAAGCATATGCTATTTTTATACCTGGTTTATAGAAACATATATGGCTTTTACTAAGTTCTTAAATACACAAGAGGATGATTTGTGTTTAAAGGGAAAAAACAAACAAACCTACCCTTACTCAAAAAACTTAAGGATCTTGACATGGAGTAACTTCCCCCACTCTAGTAGGGGAGAGGGATGGCAGACTTTTCTTGGCTTTCCCTCCCCTACTGAATACCCTTAACGCTAGCCCTGACCTGCTAGACTTAGCAGGAATGTGGGTTGTAGGAGCCCTCTCACACTCTTTCTCTTTTATAAATATTTTTATTGATTTCAGAGAGGAAGGGAGAGAAAGAGAGAGATAGAAACACTAATGATGAGCGGTAATCATTGATTGGCTGCCTCTTGCCTGTTGGACCAAACCTGTGTCTTTGGACTAAGCCTCAGGTATGTGTCTTTGACCGGAATTGAACCTGGGACACTTAGGTCCGCAGGTTCTGCTGGACACTTCAGTCTGCTGACGCTCTTATCCACCAAGCCAAACCAGCTATGGCAGGAGCCCTTTCTCTTGAAGGCCCCCTTTCTACGTTCTCACTGTCCTCAGGTGCTTCTAAAGCCACACCCTTCTTATTCCTTCCCCTCAGGAGGAGGAAGGTTTTTTTTTTTTTAATCTTGGTTAGGACTGGGATGATTTGTTTAAAATTTTTCATCAGGAAAGTGTTAGGAAAGATGGGTAGCATTCTAATTATTCTATTTTAAAGTTAAGTAACTTATAAAGACCAGCATTTAATAACATTTTATGGCAAACAATTTATGGCAAACAATTGACTTACAAATGATTTTTGCAACATGATGGTAAGTTGACCTTTATTCACTTTAATTATAAATGCAATTTTGCACATTACTCTAAAATGAGAACTGCTAACAGTAATTTAAATTTTTCCTTTGGTTGGATTAGATTTACTTTTTTAAAAAGTCTTTCCTCTTATTCACTGCTTTTATTTTTTATTTTCTTTTCTTAATCTTTATTGCTCAGATTATTACAATTGTTCCTCTTTCTCCCCCCCTCCCCCCCCCATATCTCCCCTCCACCTGGTTTCTACCCCACCCTCTATCCTTACCCTTCACCTCTCACTGTCCTCATCCATAGGTGTACAATTTTTGTCCAGTCTCTTCCAGCACCATCTACATCCTTTCGAATTGTCAGTCCACTCCCTTTTTATGCCGGTGCTTTATTGGGCTGAAAAAAGCTTAGCTAAATCAGAAAGCAGGTCTAATTAAGCAAGTTTATTCTAGCTACACTAATAAAAGAGAAAGATGCAAATTGATCATACTTTCACAATGCACACCAGCCAATCAGGAGTGAGTATGCAAATTAACCCAATAAAGATGGTGGGTTAATTTGCTGAGTGGTATTCCGCACCGCCCTAGCGGCTCTGGGCCTCTGGGCAGCATGGGAAGGCAGAAAGGAGGCTTCTGCTAGAGTAAAGACAGTACAGGCAGCCAGGGGAAGGAAGGCTCATTCTTGCATGAATCTTTGTGCACTGGGCCTCTAGTATATACTGTATAAAAAGCTAAGTTGACTCACACATGCACATATAAAGCTTGCTGGTGCCAATCACTAGTATGGTTACAAAATCAGGGCCTTACAAATCCCAACGTTTGGTTATGTCTAGCTTTAACTCATAAGTAGTGATGTTTATTTTTCTGTCACACTATACTGTATGTATTATGTATTATGACAAATAGCACACAGCCATTTGTAGAAATTATTGAACTATGTAGTTACTACTCAATATTACAACTTATCAAGATAAGTTGTAGTTCCAATCAGTCATTACATGCAAGTTAAGAGTTAAAGACAATTTATGATGTGGAAACTTGGATCATAGGAGGAGTCATCTATACTAAGCCACATAATAATTGGCAAAAGAGATTCACATGAGAAGAAGACAAAATGCACAGAAGTGGCATTATTTTGTCTCCTGTTTTCATAGAGGTATATTCTGTTTTGTTAGACATTTTGGAGGGGGAAATAAAAGGAAAATAAATTAGCAAAAGAAAGCCACACATGAGAATACTAACTTAAATTTGACACAAAAAATACATTCTTTCTCTGTTTTTATCTTGGTGTTCTGGATAATGACCAATCTGATCAAGTTTCCATAAATAAAATATTTTAGATAATCTAACTGAAGTACTACATAGCGGAGAATTTTAACATATTGATACATACTGTGGCATAGTTTTTAAAATTCTCTTATTTGAAAGACATTATTAAAAATTGAAATTCTAAGAAAAATTGACATTCTAACAATTTGGGTTTTTTTTTTTTTTTAGGAGTAGATCCCATAATAGATCACGTTCAAGACAAAAAGAAAGACGTAGATCTAAGAGCCCACATAAAAAACGCTCTAAGTCCAGGGAAAGACGAAAGTCAAGGAGTCGTTCACATTCACGGTAAGTTTTTTCGGGGGGTCGGGTAGGGGAGGGCTTGATTTGTTAAAAATCTGTTGTGAGGGAAAGTAAACTTTTTTTCCTGATTGTTTTTGTGATAATATTGGTTGCCATTGATTTGGATCTGATTGCCATTATGACTCATGAGGTTTCTGTACTTAATTCCCACTGGTATTTGTTTTTATTTTATTATTTATTTTAATTCTCACTTGAGGTCATTTTTTTTTATCAATATCTAGAAAGAGTAAAAGGGAAATAGGGAAGGGAAAGGAAGGGGGAGAGAGAGAGAGAGAGAGAGAGAGAGAGAGAGAGAGAGAGAGAGAGAAACATTGGTGTAAGAGAGAGACATTGGCCACTTCCCGCTCACACCACAACTGGTCCAGAGATTAAACCTGCAACCCAGGTAAGTGCCCTTGGTTGGGAATGGAACCTGCAACCCTTTGATGCGTAGGATCTAACGATTTAGTAACACTGGCCAAAGTGATATTTGTTTTATTTAGTAGTTTCAGTTACAACTGAGTTATATAGAAACTTGTTATGTCTTATAGCTATTATAAATTGTTTTGTATTGGTAATTATTGAGGAAAGAGAGGAAGGTCCTTTTGGAGAGTAGAGTTATTTCAGTTGTGAATTTACTTATTTTTGTTTTTAAAGGGACAAGAGAAAAGAAACCCGAGAAAAGATCAAGGAAAAAGAAAGAGTGAAAGAAAAAGATAAAGAAAAGGAAAAGGAAAAAGAGAGAGACAGGGAAAAGGAACGTGAAAAAGAAAAGGAACGTAGTAAAAACAAAGATAAAGAACGGGAAAAAGACCGGGATAAGGATAAAGACAAGGAAAAGGACAGAGAGAGAGAGCGGGAAAAAGACCACGAAAAGGAGCGAGACAAAGAGAAGGAAAAGGAACAGGATAAAGAAAAGGAACGAGAAAAGGACAGATCCAAAGAGATAGATGAGAAAAGAAAGAAGGATAAAAAATCCAGAACACCACCCAGAAGTTACAATGCATCAAGAAGATCTCGTAGTTCCAGCAGGTTTGATATGCTTAAAATTTTCACAAGGTGTTTACTAATGACAAATGAAAATAAGAATTTTAACTGAGGGGGACAAGATTTTCTTTACAAGTGGAATTAGTACAGTAATATCAAAACATTTTCCTTTTCAGAGTAAGCATTTCTCTAAGAGGGCTTGCCACATGAAAGAATCGGAGGAGGAAGGATGGATGGTATTGGGCAAAATTATTTGAAAAGTTTTCTCTTTTGTGATCCATTATTTTAACGTGGTAGCACTAGCAGATGGTGCTGCTGCTGGTGTTTTTGGAGGGTAGAATGGCAGGGCAAAATTTTTTTTTGTTTTGTTAATATAGGTTTCAAGTGTACAATTTTATTATATACTAGAAACCCAGTGCACAAATTTGTGCACCATTGGGGTTCCTCTCCTGGCCTGTGGGATCAGGCTGAAACCAGCGATCTGACATCCCCCAAGGGTCCCGGATTTTGAGAGGGCACAGGGCAGGCCAAGTGACCCCACTGGTGCACAATCTGGGCTAGGGAGGGACTCGGGGAGGGCCCCAGTGCATGTCAGGCCCCTCTTGCTCAGTCCCTACTGGTCAGAGTGTCAGCCCTGGTGATTAGTGCACGTTATAGTGAGCAATTGAATGGCCTTAGCAGATCATTAACATATCATGTTTTGATTGGTTGAATGGATGACCAGACACTTAGCATATTAGGCTTTTATATAGGATCACCTGGATATAGCATTGTGTGTTCACCACCCAGGGTCAAATCTCCTTTCACCACCATATATTTAACACCCTCTACCAGTCCCCTTTCCTTCTGGTAACCACCATATTGTTGTGTGTCTGAGCTTTTGTTTGTTCATTTTTTGCTTTCAGTTTTATATCCCACATATGAGTGAAATCATAGGTTCTTGACTTTTTCTGTCTGACTTATTTCACTTACCATGATATTCCCAGGGTCCATCCTTGTAACAAATGGCAGTATTGCATTTTATGGCTGAGTAGTATTCCATTGTATTTTTGTGCCACATCTTCTTTGTCTAGTCATTTAGCAAAGGACAGTTGGACATCACATCACACCTATTAGGTTGGGTATTATCAACAAGACAAGTAATAACAAGTGTTAGAGAGGTTGTGGAGAAAAGGAACCCTCATTCACTGCTGGTGGGAATGTAAACTGAAAATTTCTCAGAAAAATGAATCATAGACTCAGTAACTAACTATTCTGGATTTCTACCACCAAAATTTGAAAACTTTTATTCCCAAAGATATATGTACCTCTATGTTCATTATAGTATTATTCACAGTAGATATGGAAAAGTAGAAAGGCCTTTTAAAAATTTAAATATAGAAGAATTGACCTCTTAGACTTCCGTATTTCTTTGGAGTGGTGTGGTAAGTTTTATGTGAAATGATTTCTGAGGTTGAGCGTTAGTGCTTTTTCATCTAAGTTAGTTTTTACTGCACTATTTTGTTGAATGCATGAACGTTTACATTTTTTATTTTGTCAGTTTTAAGGATTTGTTTTTTCCTTAGTTCTGTTCCCTTAATCTATTAATAAATAGGTACTCTGATACCAGATGGAGTAGGTTGCCATAGTAACAGCAGCAAAATGAGGACCTTCATTGATTCAAGATTATGTAAACCTATATTCCATTATTCCGATGATACTATGGCTATAAATAAGTAGAAGTTCTTAACTTGTGTTAAGCTATTTATTAAAATGCATATTTTTAACAAGCTTTAAAGGTATTTTAAACATAAATTTTCATAGAAAATTTTAGAAACAGGAATGTCTGTTTCTTTTTAAATTCTTTTAAAATATATTTTTGTTGATTACAGAGAGGAGGAGAGAGAGAGAAACATCAATGATGAGAGAGAAGCATCGATCAACCATCTTTTTTATGCCTCCTACTAGGGATCAAGCACGCAACCCAAGCATGTGTGCTGACTGGGAATCAAACGGTGACCTGGCATTATTCTTAATGCTAGTCTTTATTTAGATAATACAAGATAATTGAAGCATTTGAGTGCTTTTATTATGTGCCAGATTTTATGTCTCAGCAATTTTTCATGGCTAACCTTAATTTTCTTTCTTTTTTAAAAAAAAATATTTTTTATTGATTTTATACAGAGAGGAAGGGAGAAAGATAATTAGAAACATTGATGAGAGAGTGTCATCGATCAGCTGCCTCTTGCACACCCCCTACTGGGGATATGCCTGCAACCAAGGTACATGCCCTTGACCGGAATTGAACCCGGTACCTTTCAGTCCCCAAGCTGACGCTCTATCCATTGAGCCAAACCGGTTTCGGCACCTTATTTAATTTTCAAAATAAATCTATGAGAAGATTAGTATCATGAATGTTAAACATGAGGAAATTGAAGGTTAGAAGAAATTTTCCATTTGCTTTGTACTTTAGTATCAGAAGTACAGTAGCCCTTTCTCTTTAGAAATTAAGTTTACTTGAGAGTTCTCTAATTCTTGGCTACTTGCTTTAAGAAAACTTGATTTAGAAGTATTGAGTTGAAAGCAACACCTTGTATTAAAATGGGCTTAAAATAAGCTGATAATATTTTAGCACACTGAACCAAAGCTGAATTAATTTAACCTCATTTACTGTGGGTATCTTTGAGCCCTGCAACTGCATGTTTATGACACAGTGATTTTAATGATTCTGTGTCACATATTCTTTTGTGTTTATGTAATTGTTTAGATACCGCTTTTCACAACACCAGATAATGTTTTTGATGCCTTTTAGTTAAATTTGCTTTTTCTGATGTCTGTGAATGAAATGTTTAATTTTTTCTTGGCCCATTTTAAAGTCGCTTGATATTTAAGAAAGTTCAGATGTTCACTTTCAGTGCTAACTATATTCCTAAATAAACTCTGGATCTGGAAAATAAATGCTGTTTAGAATGTTTCATCCTTTCAGAGGAGCTTGGTGAAGAGATACAATTTCTCAATTTTTAGCATTTTTCTGCTTTTCAATTGCTCTGATTTGTTTTGTAAATGGGGGAAACATTTCAACTGCTCAGAAACATAGTCTATGTAATAGTTTTATTTCCAATATTCTCCTACTTTTTCTTTTTTTTTATTCTACTTTTTAGAATAAAATTTTGATACATAAAAACTTATTTTTAAAATCCGCACCCAAGGATAAGTTTTTATTGCTTTGAGAGAGGGAAAGAGAAACATCCATTGATTGCGTCTCCTACACCCACTCCCCTCAACCAGGAATTGGACCTACAGCCTTTTTGGTGCAGGGACGATGCTCCAGCCAACAGCCATCTGGCAGGGCAATGTTTAAAAACCTTTTAATGTTTAAAAGTTATTATCAATAGACCAACAAAGGGAAGGAGAAAATATTTATTGAGTACCTGTTATGAGCAAACTTTATCCTTGGTACTTTACTGGTATTCTAAATCCTCGTAGCAACACTGTAAAGCTTGAGTTATTTCCATTTTTCAGTTGTAAAAGCAGGTTCAGATTAAAAGCAACATGGACCCCAGTTGTGCGGCTGGTAAGGTGTGGAACTAAAATTTAAATGTAATTCTAACCAACTTAGTTCTTCCTATTAGAGCTGCCCACTTCTTTTTCAACTATTTGATGTTCTAGATTGCTATCTATTCAGCCTTAGCTCTTACCATCAATTGGTAATTATTAGATATCCACCTGTACATAGTATAATACTTCCTGAACAGTCCCACTGAGCAAGAGGGAGGGAGCCCATTTTGTGTATACTTAAAGTCTGGAATACACAGATGTTCTCAAGCTATGGGGAAAGTGCTTTGGGTTCTTGTGCTCTGTTACTGAATAGCATTGATTTAATGGAATATTGTTATCTATAATTTCTTCATCAATAAGAAGTATAATTTTGGGGTAACCTGGAAATAAAGTTGGGTAATGGAGGAGAGAGCTTCAGGTAGAGTTGGAATTAATTTATTTGTGTTCTCAAAATTTTTAAGTTATTTTGGTCTTAATATATATTATACCACATCTAAAACGTAATTTAGGTTTTATTTTATAAATGAAAACATAGAATATTTCATTAACCTAGAATCAATTTACTGAGGTGGTAAGAACAATTTGAATTCTATAAGGTTGATTCTTTCAGCTATATGGACAATGGCCACTAATTATCAGAACTCCTTGTGAGTTAGTTAGATACATTAGTCATTTAATAACTATATCTCATTCTTGAATTATGGACATCTTGAAATTTATTGTTTCTAAGTAGATGTTACTAATGAAGTAATTTAGAATATTCATATTTGCTAATATGTTAAGCAAAATAATTTTTAATAACAAACACAATCTTAGTAATTATTTTTACTTTGTCATATTTAAATCCATGGTTTTAAGTATTTTACTTATCTCTAAGCAACTCTGCACTTCATTTTAAATGAATAGAACAACAGTAATGAAATGGTAGGAGATGGGAGGGCAAAGCATAAGATGAGTTAATGTAAATACATTTTTAGAGATACTCTGAATACTTAGGTCTGGAAAGTTCACATTTTGCAAGCCAACTTATTTTTCTTGAAAAAGGCATGTTAGTCACCTTATTATAAAATAATCCACAGTGGGGCAGCAAGGAGCTAGATGCATGACAAAGGATCTGAACAAAACATGTTTTAGGTGCTAAGGAAGAACATGTCTAAGCAAAACATGTTTTAGGTGTTAAGGAAGAACATATCTAATTGAGAGAATCTGAAACATCCATTAATATTTTTTTTTCAACTCAAGAAATTATTGTTCAAATAAACAAGATGAGTTGGAGGTCCTATATCCTTTCTAATATGAAATGTTAGATCTTTGTATTAATCTGTAAGATTTATGGTTCATAAGTTGACCTGCACTAAAATTGGATTATAGAACATGCTTAAAAAGGACATGTGCTTAAACTGGCTTCCAAAGAATACTGGTCACTTGAGAGCATTAAGGACTCTTCTGGTTTTGTTTATTTGAATTGCCCTTTATTTACTAGAGGCCTGGGGCACAAAATTCATGCACTGGTGGGGAGGGGCTTTCTCAGTCTGGTCTGCACCCTCTCGCGGTCTAGGAGCCCTCAGGGGATGTCCAACTGATGGCTTAGACCGTTTCCTTAGCTTTGTCACAGGCAGGAGAGGCTCCCACCACCGTGGCTGCATTCGTGAGCCACAAGCCCGGCTTCTGGATGAGTGGTGCTCCCCCTGTGGGAGTGTGCTGACAACAGGGGACAGCTCCTGTGTTGAGCATCTGCCCCTTTGTGGTCACATCATAGCGACCGGTCGTTCTAAGTTAGGCCAATTTACATATTAGCCTTTTTATTATATTGGATTTTAAAAATCTTCACTGTTGAAAGTATTACATATGTCCCTTTCTCTCCCTCCCCAACCCTCATTAATCCTCTCAGCTTGCCTCACTCCAGGTCTTCACCATTCTATTGTCTTGTGTCCATGAGCTGTGCATATATGCATACAAGTTCTTTGGTTGATTATCTCCACCCACCTAGCCTTCCTGGCCTTCTCTCTGAGATTCTACACTATGTTCCATGCTTTCATGTCTCTGGATTCACTCTATTTGTCAGTTTGTTTTGTTAATTAGATTCCACATATGGGGAGGTCATGTGATACTTGTCTTGCTCTGACTAGCCTATTTCACTTAGCATGATACTCTAGATTCCTCTATACTGTATCAAAGGGTAAGAGATTCTTTTCTTGCTGCATAGTATTCCATGGTATAAATGTACCAAACCTTTTTTATCTACTCATCTACTGATACGAATTGCACTTTATTTAAGTTGCTTTTATAAATGGCATGTCTTTGACTTTCAGGGAAAGGCGAAGGAGGCGCAGCAGGAGTTCTTCTAGATCCCCAAGAACATCAAAAACCATAAAAAGGAAATCATCTAGGTCTCCATCCCCTAGGAGGTAGGTTGAAAGTATGTGCCCATATTAAGGAGGAATCAGGGAGGACAATTTTCTTTTCAGCCTATTTTTAAAACTTTATATTTTTGAATGAATTATATGTAATACATTTGCATGGTTCAGAAATCAAAACCATATAAAAAGTTATACAGTGATAGGTCTTAATTTTCACCCTTGTGCCCACATGCTCTGTTCTCATAAGTAATGACTATTCATTTTTAGTATAACCTTTCAGTTTCATATTCATATACAAGGTGAGGATATGTAGTTATTTTCATCTTTCTAATAAAAGACAGTACAAAATATACACTGTTGTGCACTTGCTTTTTTCACTTCACACACAACCAGATCTTTCCATATTTGTCAGAGTGCTGCTTTATTCATTTTTTCAACTGCATGGACTTCTTTTGTATGATAGTACCTTAGTTTATTTAGCCTGAGGTAGAATAGGCTTTCTTACATTTTCTGTTATAAATTATACAATATTGTAACGAATTGATTTGGACTTAGTTCATTTTGTAATGTATAAGTAAATAGGAAAATTTTCCAGAAATGGTAATGTTGGCTCAGAGGATTGTGTTTGTAATTTTAAGAGTTTTCCATATTGCCTTTCATACAGATTGACTGTACTTTAGCTGTGCATGAGAGTGCTTGTTTCCTACAGCTATAACAGGTTATGTACTCAAGGTTGTGGCTTTTTGCCCACTTAATTGATGAGTAATACCATCATAGTAATTTTAGTTGTATTTCTCTTAAAAATAAAAGTGATCATCTCTATATTTGAAGGCCATTTCCTGTGAATTGTCTATATATTTTGCTAGTTTTTCTATGGAGTCTCTTTTTTAATATTTTCAGAAGCTTTTTCTGTACTGGTGAAATTATTCTTTAGTGATTTGATTTTAAGTATCTTTCCTAGTTTAAAAACTTACCCTTCTAAGTTAATGTTTCTAGATTGACCACCCTTACTAATGAGGTAATTTAGAGTATATAATTTTGCTAATATGTTAAGCAGGATAGTTTTTAATAATTATTCAGTAACTGTTTTTTACTTTGTCATATTTAAATCCCAGCTTTTAAATACAAATGTTTTTTATTTTTATATAACTTAATTTTTTCTATTAATATTTAACTTTTAGATTTTGTCATAAATTTAGAAAGGTCTTTTCCTATCCCAAGATTATGATAGAATTCCCCCATTGTTTCTTCTTCTACTTTTATGGTTTTATTTTTACATTTATATCTTTGATCCATTAGGAGTTTATCCAAATGTACCATCCAATTTTATTTTATTTCTTCCAAATGCTTCACTGTTGTCCTAATACCATTCATCAAAAACTCAAATTTTTCTAATACTAGTTTGAAAGATTGCTTTTGTTATGTACTAAATTTTTCTATTTGTGTTTATTTCTGGGCCTTCTAGGCCAGCGATTTTTATCTTTTTTCATCTCATGGCACACATAAACTAATTACTAAAATTCTGCCCCACACTAAAAAATACATTTTTTGCTGATAAGAAAAAAAAATAGTATGATTTTGTTTCAGTCATATAGGATGACTATTGTGTTGTGTTTGTTGTCATTTTTTAATTTGACAATCTAAGGGGAAAAGGTTGGTGCCCCTGACTTAATAGTCAGGTATTGCATATGTTAAAAATTCTTGTGGCATACTGTTGAAAATCACTGTTCTGTGCTGTTAGATTGGTTTGACTGATGATTTTTATATGGTTTTAACTATTCAGATTACAGAGTATTTCTTAATAGCTAAGAAAGCCTATTCTTCCCCACACTCCTCATGCTTGCACGTCTATTTTTCCCTTTGAACATGAGTCAGTTGTCTAGATTTTAGAAATAAAATCTATTGATGATTTGTATTACTGTTATGTTACATTTATTAGAGAAAATTTATAACTAGCTTTATTAATACGTAAGACTTTAGGAAGACGAATCTTTCTATTAGGAACATAGTATATCTTTCTGCTTATTCAGGCTATCTTTAGTGTGTTTATTGTTTGTTTCATACAGATTTTGTGTATTTTCTAAATTCTTACACATATTTTACTTCTATTTTGTTATTAAGGTCTTTTCTTTCATTACATTATCTAATTGGAGGTTGGGTTTGATTTTTGTTTATTTTTTTCATTCCTTTATTGGTAAGTCATAGTTTTTTAGTTGGTTTTCTAGGTTTAGGAAAGATAAATTAATAAAAAGCTTTGCCAGAGTGTAAGGAGCATGTTCCCAGCAAGGGCATTTTGTTTATTTGCTTGTGGGCTATTGTTTTTAGGTGAGAATAATGAAAGACACAGGATATTATAGAGGTAGCCATATTTTTATGGGGAAAAAAAGCTTTGCTTATAAAAGTCAAGACTTCTCTCAGTTTTGAATTCAGATTAGACAAAAAGATATATTTACAAAGAAGGAGCACAATTACTTATCCCATTGGGGGTGTGACTAGCCTGCAAACCACCACAGGCCCCTCTCCCTGGTTGCCCCACACCCCAAGGGAACCCCCTTGATCTGGGACACCAGGGCAAACCAGCCGACCCCCACCTGTGCACCAGGCCTCTTTCTATACTAATAAAAGGGTAATATATACTAATTAGACTGGAAAATCTGGACGTTCTTTTGGACAATGCCATGGTGGTGGTGCCAAGGTAGAGGCCAAGAAGGGAGGGCAGTTGTGGGTGATCAGACCAGGATGGGATGGCAGTTATGAGTGATCAGGCTGGTGGGGGGCGGGGCCATTGGGGGTAAGCAGACTAGCAGGGGGGGTAGATAGGTTAGAGTAGGTCTCATTTATGTTATTTGATCAAACTAGGTTACTGATATGCTTATTTACAATGCTTTAGTGTTAAGTAAGAACATTTCGTCAACAAAATAGCTGGTCTTTCATTTCTTAGACGTTAACTGACATATTACCAATATTCTTATAGCAGAAACAAGAAAGATAAAAAGAGAGAAAAAGAAAGGGACCATATTAGTGAAAGAAGAGAGAGAGAGCGTTCAACCTCTACAAGAAAGAATTCTAATGACAAAGATGGGAAAGAAAAATTGGAGAAGAACAATACTTCACTTAAAGTAAGCAATGGACATTTCGTGTTTTGACTTTCAATAATTAATAATTGAGATTGTTCTTTATTGCATAGAAGTAGTTTTAGGCTAAAAGGCCCTTAAGGGCAATAGTGTCTTGTATGTTTTTTGTATTCTTTCGTATTTGTTAAATTGACAGTCTTTTTAAAACTAAATTTTTAAGGGATAGATAGATAAGAGCTAATTAAAATTTAAACAATCACATTCTCTATTTTTGAGACTCATGGAATGGTATATAGTAAAGATTTTAGACTATTCATAGTACATGTAAGAAATGTATTTGATATTTATATTCAGATTTTTACTTGATGCCATTTTCCTCAGTATATTTGTTTCAACAAATATGACAGGTGTTCTGTCATTATTGGGTTTGTAATATATACTGAAATTAGGTTTTTGAATTAGATATTAATGGAAAACCAAACTCCTACCAAGTAATTTTTTGGGATGAATATTTTAAGAACTTAATCAATTATGCTATATTGGAATAATTTGTATTTGAACATCATGAGTTCTGGAGCTTTTATCATACAGTTTTTATTTACTCTCATACTGATAGAAGTTTATCATTGTCAATAACATGCATTTCTTGAGCACTTACTATGTGCCAAGCACTATTCCCCATGTTCTCATTTAACTCTTTTTTTTTTTTTTTTTTAAATATATATTTTATTGATTTCTTACAGAGAGGGATAGAGAGTTAGAAACATCAATGAGAGAGAAACATTGATCAGCTGCCTCTTGCACATCCCCTACTGGGGATGTGCCCGCAACCAAGGTACATGCCCTTGATCAGAATCGAACCTGGGACCTTTCAGTCTGCAGGCCGACAGCTCTATCCACTGAGCCAAACCAGTTTCGGCTCATTTAACTCTTCTTTAAGTTGAGGGCAAACCATGGATGTCCTTGAACAGTTTTCTGTATTCCTTTACTTTTGCTTCTTTGGTTTCCAGATTACAAATCTATCCCAGTGTCTTTGGGAACTATTTTACTCTTTCAACAGATTTGTCACACTCTTTGAAGTCAGTGAAAAACACTTATTGAACACTTCCTTAGGATTTCTGTTGATCTGTATTTTTTGAATTTAATTTCCATGGATTGCCCATCTTTTATGAGAAGTGCAAAAAACATGGATACATGTTTGCATAACCTATTTATATGAAATGGTAATGGGAGAAAATAACCCAGTTTTATTAATTCACAATATATAAAATTACATATTTTAGCCATAAGCAGATGTAGTAACAGGCAACTCTTGAGAAAAATATTAAATGTATCTCTCAATATTCATTGTAGGAGAAGGAGCACAATAAAGAACCAGAATCAGGTGTGAGCAAAGAAGCAGATGACAAGGACGCACCAAGGACTGAGGAAAACGAAGTACAGCAAAATGGGAATTGTCAGCCAAATGAAGAAAACCTTTCTACCAAAACAGAAGCCGTATAAGACTGACCAGTGCACCTCTGAATGCGTGCCGGAATAAAATCCAAAGCTTTTAATTACTCTTAACAAGATGTTAAATAATGAAGAATCCATTTGAGCATAAAGAGATAAGCTAACAACTTTTCTAGTTGTTAGGTGGCTTTGTGGCCATCTTGTTAGTGAGTAAGAAAAGAAAGCATGGACATCATGAAGATAACTGATAATACCCAAACTCATCTTCTAAAACCTGTGCATTTCCATGGTGGCTGACACACTTGTCCTGTGGTTTGTTAGTGTTTGCCAAGAACCATTATAAATAAATGGGACATTAAAGATCCAAATTTGTACTCTTCACAAAGACTGGAGATAAACATTGGAGGCTCTTTTAAAAAGTGTTAGTTACTGAATTTTGTATTGTTTTACTTTTTTTTTAAATTTCATATATACATATTGATGATGTGCTTGAAATCGGTGCAAATACATACCCACCCTTGTAAGTGCAGAATATGTAAGAAGTTTTAACACTTAACTCCACAGGATTTATAGTGCTTGTGTTAAATTCTCACTATTGTGTTTCTTTTTCTCACTGGATAGGACAACAGCTTTTCTTTACAATACTTTTACAGATTCAAATTCCTTAAATAAGTGGATTAAAAAACAACTGACAATGCATGCTACTACTGTTCTCTTTCGAAAGGATGAACAACTGTGTTGAATACTAATAATTAATGTATTAGTATTCAGTGTTTAGAATCATTGGGTTTTCCCACAAAGTAAGCACTTCTTTTTTAACTTTCTTGTCACTTCCAAGCTTATTATGAATAATATTGTGTGTATTGTCAGCAGTAGATGGCAAAGGTGTCATTATAAAAAGAAAACTTGGGTTTTTAAAATGGGCTATGGGAGCACAAGCTGAAGCTTTAGTGCCTTCTACAATGTGGTATACTGTTTTCTAGAATTTTATATGTACTAGACATTCTCAGCTCATATGGAATTTAGATGGATATTCCATTCACTCCCATAGAGAAGTGTGCAAGTGATATGTCAAAAGAGCTTCTTACTTAGTTCACTTAATATGAGAGGGAAGTCCTCTTTTTCAAGAAGGACTTTAGAGCTTAAAACAACAGTGCAGTTTTGGGACCATCAGTTGTATACTGTGATCATTGAAAATGAAGCATGTTCTTAATTTACTTAAAGCAAATCCTTTAGTTGTCTACATGGGATGGCCTTAATTATTACCTCTCAATCATCTTCTCATAAATGATGTGCAGAAATTGAAGTTGAAGGAGAATACATGAGGTGGTTTTATGTTTAAGGATTTATTTACTTGATTTAAAATAATAGGTCATCCATCATTCTTAGGTTCACTTTTTGTAGAAAGTATGCAAGCAGTAAAATGACAACATTGCTAATATTTCCCCACCACCATAAAACATAACTCATAGTTTCAGAACTCCTTTCTTTATTGTTATATTTCCAAAAAGATATACTTTTTAATTATCATATTATTAAAAAATTATAATTATTTTAATACAATCGAATACAATCAAATTACTCAGTTGCCTTACCTCACAGGAAGAGTTACTTATAGATTTCAAAGCTGGGTAGCATATCAGTTATTTGGTTTCAACCTGAGTTTTCTTTTAAGGTTAATACTATTGAAACTTAAGTATTGGGTGGGGATGGAAAGAATTGTCCTTATTGCAAATAATGAAGCCTGGTTTGATTATGAAGCTGCTTAATTCCTCTTCATGTGTCCAGAATTACTGTGGTATTTTTTTTCCCTTTTTGTCACTGTGTACATTAAATTTTTTGAAAATGCTTTACTATGTAAAGTATAGATGGTCATTTTAATCCTTCAACCACATACGGTTGGCTGGTAAACAGCTTATTCTAATATAAGAATGCTTGTATGGTGACTATGGAAAGATCGTGAAGGAGTACGTATGTCTTGCATCAACAGCTGTCTTATTTATGATATGTAAGTAGAATAGAACAAATGTTTGACTCTGTTATTTTTAGTACAATTTCTTAATAAAGCTAAGTATTTTAGAGGAAAGTATTTGTTATGCATTTCAAAACAGCATCTTAGTTTTATTATTTTTTTAGTTTCCATAAAAATTGTTTTGACATGAAGGGTGCATGTTTGGTGTGGTGTCTATAAAAAATCATTTAAAGTTTGAGTGTTTTCTTGTATTCTGGACTCTACTAAATGTTTGTAATGTTATAATTAGCATGTTTAATTTGGGTCCTGCTACTTATTTTTCTTGCCTATATTTATTCAGCTTTACAGTAATGTAAGACTGATTTGTAAAAGTTAGGCATAAGTAGGAACACAAGAGATCTGGAGAAAGTGAAATAATTTTCTTAAATTAGAGCTTATATAAGGAAAGTGTTCTAGGTCTATAGATGTGTGTGTGTGTGTGTGTGTGTGTGTGTGTGAGAGAGAGAGAGAGAGAGAGAGAGAGAGTGTGTGTGTGTGAGAGAGAGAGAGAGAGAGAGAGAGAGAGAGTGTGTGTGTGTGTGCGCGCGCACGAGCGGGGGTGGGAATTCTTGTTCACACATGACAGCTGAAATGTTTCCATTTGTTTATTATTTTTTCAAGGAATTTGTTTTTTCCTTTAAGATTATTCTTATTCATCCCAAGTAGATGTTGTCAGAAAAACTTGAGGTAAGGCCAAGATGACAGCCATTATATACTTGAAAACTCCTATAAATATCTTTTTTGGTTTGATCATATGGAGAGTACATACACTGTTCTTTAAATTGTAATTGCTCTTCATTCTGGACAAATTCTGTTGGTCCTTTTGTTCTTCCTGTCCAGCACTGCTCACTGAAATGGTAATAATATAAGATGGCTCTTCATAAGGCAGCCAGTTTCATGTGAGAAAACAAGTATAAGTCCTTCTGCAACCATCTCCTTAGTAATTTTCCATCTAATCTAACATGTAATTGCAAACACTAGCCAGCTTGTGATTTTCTGTTTAGAATTACTTTATCAAGAGGTAAAATGCATGCTATGTTGATCTTTAAAAGTGTCAGAGTCTTAAATTTTGGCATATTCAAAATTAACACATTTAGAATTAATATTTTGTCAAGAATATCTTATGATATTAGTCATTTTCATGACCCCATTCATTCTTATATATGTTGCTATTTTTATTTAAAACTAAAAAAAGCCCCAAATTTTTTAACTGAAGATAATGTTCAAATTTAAGGGATACACACACACACACACACACACACACACACACACACACACACATATCATGGTTATATATGTATTCAGTACATATATATAGTAATAGGCTTTTAAAAGTTTAAAAATTTATTAGAATATGATTTTATTTAAATCTTTAGTAGTTGGTATAGCAATTAGAATGAGTCCTTTTGGAGGGATCCATTGAATAACAACAGTTCAATTAGTTGTTTTTTATATTTTCACTATAAAATAGTATCTGAATTTAACTGGGCCTTGAAATAGAGCCATTTCAACAAAGTATGTTTCTTACATGTTTAAATTTTGTTTAATCTTTGCTACTTAATATACCTAGTACCTTCTTATGTTTATTTACTAATGCAATATTTATTTAAATTGAATTGTTTATTTTCAGATTTTAAAAGTTAATGCCATTAAAAGGGCTAAATTATGCTTCTGGAAGCAAGAGTTCAGTGTAAATGTAATAAAATAATACTTTATAATGGACTTCCCTACTTAATCTTGGGTTTGTGGGTTAATTTGTTTCTCTTAGAACATTTTTATTGATAATTCTGCCTAAAGACTGATACATTATTTTAAAAATAAAAGCTAAAGCTATTAATGACTTTTGGCCCATATTCTGTTAAGTTGGATTTAATAAATGATAGATTTTTTTTCCATTTCACTTTCGGGTAATTTTATGGATGTTGGCAATTAACTTATTAGTTTATATCTAATATAATATTTCTTAATATATTATTTTTAAAAGCAGGTTTGTAGCCTGTTGCCTGATTGTTAAATTTACTTGTATCTAGCTAACATTTTCATTTTGAAAATTGCCACCTTTTGGAAAGCTTCACATATTTTACAGTAAATATTTTCCCAGGACTGAAACGAATAGTTCCCTCCATTCTTGATTAACATTTATTTTCTAGACAGATATTTTCTTAACTACAGGGCATCCCCCCCAAAATGTATACACAACCTAACAGCTGATAGCTCAATGTTTCTTTTCAGATTTTACCCATTGGAATTAGTAATTATTGAAAGTGTGTACACTTTTGGGAGGTGGAATACCCTGTATATTAAGTTCAAATTCATGAAAATCACTATGAAAGACTTACAGTTGAGATTTAGTTCTATCAACTTAAGGTTACGGGTAGGTAGAAAAATGTTGGGGAACAATCTACAGAATTCCCTGATTTCCACAGGAGATTCACATTTTGGTCTACTGTAATTGTATAGGTAGTTCAGTTTAATGGTTAAATAGTACTCTCATAATCTTAATTGGGTTAATACATAGTGTTCTTTATACAATACTATGAATTATCAAGGGAAGAGTTTAAAATGTAAGCAGGAAGGTGCTGCATAGGTGGTGTGTGTTTATGTGAGTAGGACTACTAAATGATACTAGAAAAGGTTTATCAAATGATGCTGCTATTGTGTTGCTATATTTTTAATAAAATGGAAATCTTAAAACCTTGCCAGTCTTGAGTACTAATTTCACTTATTTCTGAGACATTTATTTGTATATTTACATCTTAAACTTTATAAGTAAATCCATCTTTGGATCTTAAGAAAGGAGGAAGGACAAGATTTGGCAGGACTCTAGATCAGACTCTTCCCATGTGCCAGTAACAACCTACAGTGGAGTGTCTACAAGGACTGATTCCTTGCAAGATCATAAGAATTCATTTTCTTAGAGATTCAGGGAATTCACTCAGATAGTAGCTTGGACTCAGATAGTAGTGGGTCTGATCTGGTCTTATGGCCTGGAATCCAGGTGACTCAGGAGCAGATTGAGGTGGGCACATCCAATCTAGAA